GGGTGACGTGTCTTGTGGGGAGGGGTGACTGACGTGTCGGGGAGGGGGGTGACTTTACTAAGGCATGAAAATGCCAGGCCCCTTAGATCTCAGACTCAGATCTGTCCGGGGTAGGCGATCCTTGCTTATCGTGTGTGTGTGTGTGTGTGTGTGTGTGTGTGTGTGTGATACCTATGATGCCAATTACAGGCCTCTCTCATCTTTTTAAGTGGGAGAACTTGCACAATTGGTGGCTGACTAAATACTTTTTTGCCCCACTGTATATATATCTCTCCTCTTATACTTTTGTTTCTTCCGATGCAACTAATTTGTCTTTATTTCCTCCAGCAAAGAGCGGCCCGGGCTGGGCAAACTGAGTACGACCAAACCAAACTCCGCCAACTCCGAGAGGAAGATCAGCTTCTTCGGCAAGAGGTAAAGTGATTGAAGTTAAAGTGGACATTTCGTAGAGTGAAATGTATAAAAGGGAAATCCTTCCGCAGATCTCTGCAATCTGTGCGCATATTTACACTGCGAGGACAGAGCTATACCATATACACAGAGGGAATAGTAAAAGAGTTTCTGATTTGCTGCCCCCGCCCCCCAGGCCATGTGACTTGAATGTATGACTTGCGCCCCTACGGGACCTGATGTGCTGCGTTCCAGTCCCAGCCAGAATCCGGATACAATGCAGGGGTTGCATTATGTGGCCTGACACAACGACTACTTCACCGGTTGTTTGCTGTACAACAAGTAATCCGGATCGACGTGGCAGAGCTGGGAATGTGGGAGTGGAGAGAGAAGTCGGGACTTTTGGGTTGAGTACTGAAAGACTATGCATGAATTTTACATGGCTGGCGGTGATGTCACCATGTAGGGTGGGGGGGGGTATTTGGTTCTGTAGTCCAGTAGCAGGCAAGGTCCAGTGTTTGTCTAATCTGACCACGTCGTCCTTTCTCCAGGGCCAGCGGAGCCAGGAACAGCCAGTACGGGACTTTCGGAGGCTCTGAGAAGATAAAGGACCCCAGACCCCTCCATGACAAGTCCTTCATCCAGCAATGCATCCGCCACCTGTGCGAGGTGAGGATTGTGTTTGTCTTGATGCAGAAGAAATGTTAACGCGAGAAGAGAAAATGGTACCAATCATTAAGGATGGGCTCGGGCATGTCCGCAGCTCCACTTGCCAAGGCCGCCAGGAAGCTGACAGCGCAGCAGCGCCAATCGCAGGTACTGAGACATTTTCCCGGCCTGCAGCTGCAGAGATCAGGATATGCCTCAGTACCTATGACTGGCGCTGCGTGCTGTCAGCTTCCTGGTGGAGCTGCGAACACGCCCGAGCCCATCCTTACCAATCGTCACCACTTGCAGAAAACCAATGCGCATGAGAAATACACATGGTACATAGCCAATCATCTAGACCAGGGGTAGCCAAACTCCGGCCCTCCAGCTGTGGGTGAAACTACAAATCCCATGATGCATCTCTCTGTGGGAGTCATGTCTGTGGCTGTGAGAATCTTGCAATGCCTCATGGGATTTGTAGTTCCACCACAGCTGGAGGGCCGGAGTTTGGCTACCCCCCATCTAGACCAACGTTTCTTGGCCTGTTTTCAGTCGCGGCACTCTTTCAAAGTGTGCAAAATCTCGAGGCACCCCAGTATAACATGTGTGGTCCTTCCAAAATTCATACCAGACCCTTATCCGACATTGAGGTCTGGTTATATATGGGGGGCTCTAATGTGAAAGGAGGGGGTTCTAATGTAATTTCAAATCAGAGCACCTCCTTTTTATATTAGGAGCCCCCTCCTTTCACAGAGTCCCCACTCCCACACTACAGTATGAACCCCCCCTTTCAGATCAGATCCCCGTCCTTTCACATCAGATTTATGTAGTTACATTAGGAGCCTCGCTTATATCTGAGCTCCCCCCTACATGTCTGA